TTATTTTTCTAAAAATATTTTATACTCTCTAACCAAACACTAGAAAATATTTTCCAGAAAAAGATTTTCACTCACCAACCAAACAAGGGAAAATAAGTGATAAAACCACTCATTATCTATGAAACTATTTTCCATGGAAAACATTTTCCAATATACCAAACAACCCTTAATGTAGTAATCTTTTGTGCTTGAGAAGAGTCTTCCTCGCAAGGGAATAAGTTTAACACTCTATTAACATAGTGGGAAATACTTTTGCATTATCATGTTACTTTAAAACAAATTATAGATTATATTTTGATAGCAAACATGAATTGAAAATATACGAAATATGGTAAATGACATGGTATAATGTGTAAAACCAAACTCATGATGTAAATTTTATACCATCAGCGTGTATAATATAAGTTAAATCCCATACATAAGTACTTTAGCCTGTCATTCTTCATATAGAGATATATACCAAGAGGTAAGGCATTATGGTCCGTCTCCATGTAGTTATTTTTTGTTTATCATCAATATACATGTAGTGTTATATCCCAAAACTCATTGCCGCGCAAAGTATCATGAATTTAATAAATAAATATCTCGATTTTCTAAGGAATTAAGCTACAACCACACCAAAAATCTATGATCGTGTACAAGGAAACTCTACGAATAAAAGAGAAATTAAAAGAGACTTGTGTCCACGAAACAAAAAAGAACTTATTGGTGGAGTATCTTCTTAAAAATCATTTACAAAAAGATGAGGATTTGGCAATTGGCAGTACCCTCAAGATGCAGTTCTCCATTGTAGCTCGATCTGAAGTCGACCATTTTTTGAGTCAATAAGATGGTATCTCTCATTAATTCTCTTGTTATTCACAACATCCGCGAGGTACACATCCACGTAACCCAAAGCTTCCTAAAAGTAAAGAAACATAAAAAGATGTTAAATTAAACTTCTATACGCTGACAGTGTAAAAGTTATGCCTGAGAAGGATTTAATGCATGTATAGTTATAATGAGAGCTCAATGTACCTTGGGATGTCGAAGACCCATTCTTTTTGAAGTACTAAAAACTTCTACATGAATCCTATCATTTACAGGTGGTTCCTCCAATACAAACTGAAACTCCTCTTCCCACCTTGGATCTCTGTTTTTCTTTATAACCTTTGCAAGTTTCACCAAATAAATAGTGGATTAAGGTATAATGAAAGCAACAAATGACATTGTTCACTTATCGACATGAAAAATGTGATTGAGAGAACTAAAAAGGGATAACCAAAATGCATGTTAAGTGCTTATAAAACAGTAAGGTGGTCTTTGCATCACTTGAGATGTGCATAAAGTTAGTTGCCCATATATTAAAAAATATTGAATTTTCACTGGCATTGCTACATTATAATTCGAGCAATATGTTAGTTGCTGCAAGTTATTTTCCTCATTCATCTTTTACTTGTCTCCTTAACATTCATAAAAGAATGATTAGTCCACACAATTCTAATGCTCTAGCTATAGGGCCTTTATCAAAGGTCATGAATTCAGAATTTAGAATGAGTGGATTCGGGATGAATGTAATCTTATTAAACTTTTGCATATGTATGCATAGTTCGAGGTGAAAACAAAGTGTACATTTTAAATTTTTCATGAAAAGATACCTTAGTTCTTCTCTCTTCCCCTCTGAAGAGCAGACGAACAGATGGATTTGTGTGGTGCTTCCCTTCAAGATCTTGACCTTCATGGACAATAACTACGAGCATACCTCCGCCCTCAGGTGTTCCATCAGGAGCCTTCTCTACCGTACCTGATTCATCAGTGCCATTTGCGAGTTCTTCATCGTTAAAAGCTTTGTACATCACTTCAAGTACAAGCTGTCCTCTTGATTTTTCATTTTGAACATCATCTGGTTTTAAGTTTTTCAGAAGATCTAGTGTCAATACTTTTGGTTCGTCTGGAGTAAGATCTTTCAATGGCACAATATTCACACCCATTTTTTCATGTGAGCCAACCTAACCAAAAAAAACATAAGATCTCCAATGATTCAGGACTGCAAAAGAAATGTTTTTAGAAAAACAATATGACCAACATGGCAAAATCAATAAGATATACCTGCTCCCAGTCATAAACAGAAAATTTTAGAACTTGAGTTTGTGGATCCTTAACCACGAAACTAAATTCCTCGTTCCATTCGGGGTTCAAGTTTTTGTGCTTCACTGATGTTTTCTTTGATGATAGTTTGTCATCCATAATTTTTAGTTTCACAAAGGGGTCTGAGAGCCCCAAAAGATCTGTCTTTTTAAGCTTCATTGCCCTCACAACTGTCACATTAAAAATTCCAACTGGCCTCTTCATTGCTCTGTCAAAAGAACAAAACAGAATTACTACTTATCAAGAAAAGACACCAAAATGAAGCATATCGACTGAAATGCCAATTGAGATTTACTTTGCACTATTAGATAAATGAAAAAAAAAGACTTACTTTGAAGGATCCAATATTTGGACCTCAAGTGTTTTTGGCCATAGATACATACTTGCAACTTGATCTTTGATAATCTCCTGAGGAATTAAAAAAACTTTTAAGTGACTGAGACAGGAAGATTAGAAGAGATAAAGGACCTTACTTGAACAAATCTGTACAGGCCAGGAATGGACATTGCATCTGCACCGAGAAGTTTTAGTCCAAAATCGACATGAGGCTGCAAGCATATTACACAAGGTGAAGCTACCAAATAAGGCTGCAATATTTCTCACCAGGTAAAAGTAATTGACATATTGCCATCTCTAATGGATGTGCGCAATCTCAAGAGAGATGAAAATTTATGCAACACCTTCAGGAACTCAAATTTGATTAACCCTTTTACTCATACTGAAAGTTATTATATCCTCCAGTAAATTTGGTGAATGAGCACTCACCTTCTCCATAAGCGATACATATATCTTCGCGAAACAAGGAAAGGTCGGAACCAGTGGCTTCAAGGTGATTCGAGGTAAGGCAAATATTTGCAAGTCAACCACCTGAGACAATCTCGAGTGTCAGCACACATGAATTGTTTTATTTCGGGAACAAGTTTGTAACATCACCGTATTTGTTGCTAAGAGTAGTTAACTTAAAAGCATTACCTGAGCAGTGGCTTTCAACCCAAATGCCTTCACTGCAACAGTGATGTTTGGATTAGCTGCCCACTTAATGACTGGTTCCATAATCAGCTCTTTCTCCTCTGTGATATAGACCTTCATTCCTGGCATATTGGTGCAACAGGTTACTCATATGAAACATACTATATTTATGGGCAGAAGAATACAAAGTCCATAAAGTAAAGAGATAAAAGGGAAGTGACTGCACAAGAGGGGGGCGGTTATAAAGGCAAGAGAACAGAGAAACTTCAAATCAATTAAGACTCGATATGGTTGACATTAAAGATTAGTCTTTGAGATTCAGCCATCAGAAGAAGAAAAAAAGGTGTAGATTTAGGTCTCCAAAAAGATTCAACTATAAAATGGGGAATCATAACTTTCTTTATTGAAAAACCAATTTAGATAGTCACATTCCTGATTTAATTCTAAGTCCTTTTGGTGGTATATATGTATAAACCAAGTGAAAGAGGAAAAAGCTAACCTGGAAATGTAGGTGGAAGGGTGCCCAAGGTAAATGATTGAAATTCAACTGACTCAATTTTGTACTGTGGAATCTGCTCAGCTATGATGGGATCTACTATACCTTTTGCTGTTTTACAAATAGCCTGAGAAATCCTGAACGTCAATATTCAGCTCAATTAAAGGGAAAAGTGTAATGTGGTATATACAAGTAAACATTACCTTGTCTAAATAAGGCCACATGAGTTCGATCATTTTATTAAGCCAATCAAGCTGCAGAAATGCAGTCACAGAAAAAAGTTGTTATGCAAAGAAAGAGTTGATAACTCAAAAGCTTTTGTGCAAGTAGAAATAAAATAACAACATACACGATCATAATCTGGATTTTTAACCCAAAGTGGTATCTCAGGGAGCAGTCGTTGCAGGCTTTCAGTATCTTGCTCCGCCAAGGGCCGAATATCAGGATGCTGAAAAGAGTAAAGCCCAAATAAGATGAAACTTGTTCAAGAACTATTTTTTTCATCTAAAGCATTTTGCTTTTCAGATGCTGTTAATGATGAGATGAAGTAATATGAAACAAATTTAGTCATTGCCTTTATTCTGGGAGCGAATTTTGTAACCGAAACTGAAATCTTATCACCATATCTGCTAAACGAGCAAGGTCATCTTCACTTAAACTGCACCTCTAAGTAGGCAATGGTTTTTTTCCAGCTTCAAAATATCTAGTACTCCATCCATTTGAATTTATATGACCCCTTTCTATTTTGTTACATTTCAAAATGTTTGATACCGTTCCATTGATAATGCAGTCTATATGGACTTCCAAAATATTCAAGGATTCAAATTTACTTAGTATTTTCTCTATAAAATGAATTTTGTACGTGAATATTGAAATGTAATGGGTCCTAATGGAGCGAAATGGATAGTAAAGATTTACATAATCGATCCCAACTTAACTAGCTTGAGACTAAGGCACTACTGCTGTTTTGTTGTTGAAACTAATTTTTCAAGTGTTAATTCATTATATTTTTTCACTACTACTAATATATACAACACAGCACTCCAATCAACACTTACACTCGCCCTCATGTTTAATTATTTCATAAAATAAAAAGGGAGTATTTGTTAAGATGATGTTGTTACTGCTTCTTTTTTCATCTTTCCTTGAGCCGAGGGTCTATCGGAAATAGCCTCTATAAATTCTCAAGGTAGGGGTAAGGTCTGCGTACACACACTACCCTCCCTAGACTCCACCTGTGGGATTTCAATAAGATTTTTGTTGTTGTCAGGGAGATTTAAGATAAAATCAGTTCCATGAATCTTTCAGATTAGTATTTGCAGCCAAACATAGATAGAAAGACATAAACACACACAAAAAAAAAGAACTCAAGCCATGCTAATTGCACATAAGAGGTTTTCAAACTCCTTCAAAAATGAAAAAATGTACTACTCTAAACATACATATCTTCAAAATCCCCCTGAAAATAGGGAGCTATAACTGATCTGTTCTGACATGTTTTCTATACACAATAGGTGCATATGCACCCACTCACTATCTCGGGCACGGGATATACATATAAACACACACATACATACTAGTTTAACTTGTATACATCAGCAATGTAAGAATAATTTTACACTATTAGGTTATCTTTACCTATTGTAATAGGTAACCTGACTTATTTTCAAGAATACAAATCTCACTTTTTATGAAGGATTATCTGTAATTAAATATCTTCTGGATGACCTAAATTATTTTTATATAGTTGTTGTATATAGTAAAATTTAAGGCAGAAATAAGCATGCAGAGAGCATATTATGAGAATAGAGAGAGAGGGGAAAGAAGAAAGGTGACCTTGACATCAGTTGGTAGAACGTAGATGAAGAGGAAATACCCGATCACTAGCCCTATCACGATCCCCATTCCAAATCCGAAGAACCCCAATATTGTGCTTATGAATCCCATCTCAACGAACAAACTCAAGATCACCTCAATTAATTGCCTCCTAAATCTTCTGCAAGGAAACACAACAGTCATTTTTGTTTTTACATTCCTACGTATAATGAAAGCAAAGATCTTTAGAATTAGTTACCAGAATTAAGGGAAAGTCTCGCCACCAAATATTAGTATTTCTGAGATTTAGAGGTACATAACATGGAATTGAAGATGAAAGATATTATTAACATAATCAAGATTCAGAAGAAGAATAGCAATAAAAGAGCATTAAAGAAATGGTGTTTCATGCATTGAACAACCACCACTCGAAAAGTCTGTGTAATGTAACGGCTTTTAGGAGGGAAGCAATTTAAGCCCGTGTGGCATTCCAAACAAGTCGGTAACGCTTTACTCTGTTTCTCTTTCCCTTTTGGAACTCAAACCCTTGGAAAAACTATATACTAGTTACTTTGAATGGATCCATCAATTGTAGCAAATTTTTTTATTTTTTTTTGGGTTTTCACCGTGTGGTTCGACTAATCCGTATTCGTGTCGAAAGTCCCACTGTTAATTCCTAGCAAAAAAGACTTCTTTCATATGTCTCCAATCCGAGAACTTTGATTTATGGATTGATAAATAGTTACCACACCAAATATGACACTCCATTCTGTCTAAATTGTGAGAGTATGAATAAATGCATCAGCTTTTCCTAATGCAAATAAAATTAACAATAATATAAAAATACTCCTATGGAGTATAGATTATGATAATATATCTTAATACACGTAAAAAATATTTATGTTTTAAATCATAGTTGAAGAAACAACTACAGGATTTGATTTCTTAATAGTATCATTCGTTCTAAAGCGGAATAGGTAAAGAAAACAACCATTTTCTCCATCCCAAAATGACTTATTTGCTTCCCGAGTGAATTTTGGTTCGTGTAAACTTGCAACTCATTGTAATTTTGTGTAGTTTTCGAACAACTGAACATCTCATTTTAAAAATATGAATTTAATCTAGTTAGTTTGCCTTGAAAATAAGTCAAATTAATCTGTTTTCAAACTACTATTCTATCCCAGCCTCGGTAGGGTAAATATATGAACTCTCACTATACATTTAGCTTTTTTCTTAACCAAGTCGAATCAATCAGCTGAGAACCGTAAATCGCAAGTTAATGTGAATTAATGTGCTTTTTTTTAAAGGAATTTTGCTATTACAAGTGGTTTAGAAAAAAGTAAAGGAATGAACATTGAGAATTGAACTCATATCTATTCTGTGTTCTCACATATATCATTAGACTATAAATATTGGTGACAAAATGAGTGTTCCATTTTGTTGCCACAATCTCTTTTTCATTCGGCATTTTACATTTTAAAAGAATCATTGGCGATTCCAAAGAACGGTTGAAATAATAGTGAGAGTTTTAACGTAATCGATCAAATTTCGTATATTCTTATTTGAGAGACAGGCTAGAAATAGGTGGTTAAAGGGAGACAAAAAGAAGGATACATATCGAGTAAGCCTACTTGACAATGTAAAAGGAGGTTGCTACAAACCAAAAAAGAAATGATATCATTTTCTTTATCTTTACTATACATAAGGATCATCGATAGGCATGCCTTTTCTTACTCCTATGCTTAGTGCTCATCTCAATCTTGATTTTCTCTAATTGCTCTAGGACCTGAAGAGAGGAAAATCTTGGGGCATACCACATGCAATCCCTTTGAACTTGTTTAATTAAGAATTTGAGTCTTGTACTTGCTTAAGGATATGCATTATTTCTCATATTTATATTTACCGTTGAGCTTTGGTATCCCTTAACTTATATGTTCCTCTGTTTAGCTTCATTAACTTTCACTCACTTGGTGGTTTGTATCCAAAAAAAAAAAAAAAGAAGAGGAAAAAATGTGAGCTTTCTATAATCAATCACACAGTATAAAGAATAAGGAAGCTGAATACAAAAATTATGAGGTTCAACTAATATGCTTAGGTACCAGAAAATCACTTTTAACTTTTCAAAACGTCATTTTGTGTATAGTTTATTCACTCAAACTGCCTCCAAAAAAAAAAAGGATAAAAGAAGAAGTGAGTCTTGGGCTCCAGGCACGGACCTACCAGTTCTAGTCCGCTACAAACAAAGAACTGAATATCCACTTGGATCACGCTTTAGATTTCGGGTCTTTATGATTAGGGGCCGACAAAAATTATCTGAAATTCACACTTACATGAACCAAGAAAATGGTAGGCCCATGGGCGAAAGCCACATGCTCATAAAGGTGGTCAAAAAATTATAATGTGTATATAGGTAAAATATTATGTTTTAGGGGTATATAACACATATTGAACACCATTTGTCGAGAACCCTTTTTCACTTCTTTCAAATTTGAACACCCTTGGGGAAATTACTAGCTTCGCCACTGGATAGGCCCGGGCAAAATTGAGGAGTTATTGAGTTGAAGTCAGCATCACTTGAGGGTCGAAACAACATCGAGTACTGTGCTTGAACATGGCACTGGCCTCCCAAGGTCCTTCAGTACCTTCCCCTGAGACTTGGGTCAATTAGCCAATGGGTTGCTGTTTGAGTCCCTCAGGTGATTTTATTTTGACTATCATTATGCAGGCTAGAATGTAAAATGTGCAAATCATACGCCTGTTGCTTAACCTGTGGAACTAATGTTAATGTGAATAATCTCACTGCTTGTTAGATTTAGGCAAATTTGTAATTAATTAATAAAATAGGATAAAAACTACAAGTTTCTATACACGTTGAGAAACACAATGAAGTTCACGACAACCACACCTTATGCTAAATCAACAATTTCAGACGAGAAATGGTCGTTTTTACTCTTTTTACATGGATTTGTAGGAAAATTTATGGTTAGCTGCTCAGTCCCATGATCATTATCAGATCAAAATATCCTCTACTAATCAATTTAGGGACTAAGGGAGAGAAACAAAAGGCCTTCCTGTAGTATCAAGTATCCGTACAGTAACGCCTTCCTACAAATAGTAAAACCTTTATTACTATTTCACAGCCTGGTTCCACCCAAAAAGTTAATACCATATCAAAGCAATAGCATCCATTTTAAGTGCAGAAAATACCTCTTTATTCATTTAGAGACAACCCTGTACAATAAGTTTAAATCAAAAGGAAGTCCTAATATACACTCCAAACGACTGAGATCTCCTTCCATGCACCAACCTAAAGAAATCAGGCAACCTCCTGTAGGGTAAAGAATAGCTGACTGCAAAAGGAGAATTTTACATTGAACCGTCTAGTAGTAAGATTGTAGGAAATTGTTGTATTTATTGCTGATAGAATAATTGATGGTCAGCAGCACTGCAGAGACGCTCATTTTGGTAGTTCAGATACCACTAAATCCTCCACCTTTAGAGCTTAGGTACTGTGTTTAGCACAACAAATCTGACATGCCACAAGAAAGTGAAAGTATCACACCTTAATTGGATTATATTTCTCTCCCATTAGCCCTCCTTTTTGTCTCTGAAACTGAACATAACGCAATGTGCTGGTGAAGAAAGCGTCGGAAGCAGAATCTGGGGTCGTGGCGTCACTCTGCATCTCAGTTTTAATCAACTCTATAAGGCTCTGAATTGCACCAGGTGTTATTTGAGGGTTCCCCTTCTCAAAAAAATAGAGGTACCTGAGGCCAGAAGTAGATTCAATACAATATAAAACCTAAGCCTGCAATCTAGAACCCAAGTTTCAGTTTACAACATTAGTGTTCTGATTACTAACTTGTTAAGTATTTCAACAAAAAGTGTGACAGGTCCACTGCTACCCCTTGTAACATTTGCCTGTTGCTGTGCTGCATTAGCAATCCGCAACGAACGCTTTAGGCAAAGCAAGACCCTGTGATACCAAAGGCAGCACGTCATATATTTCAGGGTAACAAAATAAAAGGGAAATCCATAAATTAAAGCAAAATGCAGGACTTAAACTCCTGAATGGACAAAGCTATGGAAAAGAAAAGTTCGAGTGTACTTAGAAGAATCAATTGAATATGCAAATAACCCAATTAAAAATGAGAAATTTGCGGAGCACTCTTGCCTACCTTTCTCCATCTTTAATACCATCTTGATCATCAACCCAAAAGAGATGTGAACAAGCGTAAACTGCTCTACATTGATCATGTTTCTTTAGAAGTTTTGCTGAATACTTTACATCAAAAAATGTGTTCCCATTGTTAGATGACAAATAAGTAGACAGACGGGCCCAAAGAGATTAGAGGTAGAAATTACCCCCGTGGCCTTATGAGTTAAGGTATCCCTGTTCTCAACACCAAACACAGTCATCTTCTGAAGAGTTCCAATTATCAAGTGTATTGCAGTCACTTGCGCTTTTGAATCCTAATACCAAGTGCAAGAATTTCAAGTAGAACTTTGAGCAGATGACAAGGTAAATGCGAAGAAGCATATAATATAAACACATTGTTTATGGTTGAGCAATTACCGCAACTTCTTCTTCATATAGTACAAAAGCTTGTGTAAAAAATTCATATGCAATCGGTTCAAGATCACAATCATTGGCAGCCTGAGGAACAAAAGCAAGTTTCATAAATAAATAAAAAACTAAATGGATCGAGTTAAGTTTTGATGCTTGCCTAGAGATAGCGAAGAGACTCTTTCACGTGAAACAAATAAAATAGATGGGCTCACACAAACATGTATAGATCACAGGTGCTGTTGGAAGGCCTTTCTCAGTGAACATCATATTGCAGAGAAAGACAATTTCCCTTCTCTTTCTTTTTTTGTGATGAAGAAAAGACAATTTCCTTTTTTTTAATTAAAGCAGAAAAAGACAATTACCTAGTGGAATCTTTTGAATTGCCTAGGAAATTGCAAAGAAAGACAGTTTCCTAGGCAATTCAAATAGATTCCACTAGGTAGTTCTCGTGCCATGCTTACAGACTTGATCTGATTCTGAGGGTAAAAGTGAGGTGAAGAGGAAGAAAAGAGAACACGAAATAGGTCTAATCCATCAACACATATCCACTTTTTGCTCTAAATGTACTCCCAAGCTTTTCGCCATGATTGTCTTTCTCTTCCAATCATTGCCCATCCACCCAGTGAAGGGGTGAGGTTGTTGAAAATTCAAATCACAGAATAATCTTACGGCATAATTTAGAATTTTAAGATGTTCCATGATATGGACGTCTGAAAGTTCTTGTAAATGTTGGACATATTCTAAAACAGAACAGTCTTTCATTTTATAGTCAAAAGACTGAATACATATGCGGCCCCTTAAACTTGCCCGTATTTTTCATTTAGACACCTATACTAAAAGTTGTTCCAATTGAACACCTGAACCTGTTCACAAGTGTGCCCATTGAAACACATATTTAACAATTTTACACAAACCAAAGTGTGTGCATGCTACTTGCTGTTGACGTAGCAAATACGACCGATCAGAAAACGACATGTCAACAAAGTATAGAAAAATCAAAATCTCAAGAAAGAAAAAAGAGAAAGAAAGAAAGAAACATTGACCGGAAAAGAGGACTTCCGCCGAATGTGCTATCTTCTCCAATTGACTCTCTCTCATTTTGTGGTCTTTCTTCTTCCACTTAACATGAAAAATCAAATCTGCTGGGTCAAGAAGACGAAGAAAGTTAATCGGAATAAATTGCCACCACCCTCCAATCCCTTTTTAATTCTTCAACCACCTCTTAAACCGTAGCTAAACCAACAACCATTCCTCTGTTGCTTCCACCAGCTCTCCCATTTTCGATTCTTCGACCAACTGGTGGATAAGGATTACTTGTAGCAGCTGGCTTTGACGGCATATAGCTACGGGAGTTTTTGGGGAATGTGGTGGAGATGGAAGCATAGTGGTGGAGCGGTGTCATGGTATTGGTGGCTGTTTCAGGTGGTTCTTAAGCTGGCTGGTGCACGGTGGCCCTTTTGGTGGTTCAGAAATGGTGGAGGTAGTGGCTATGGTGGAGGTGGGCAAAGAGATGGTGGTGGGATGGTGTCAAATTCTCTCATATGTCTTGAAATATTGGAATTTATAAATTGCATCTTTTCAAGATTTTTCTTGCACTCGCTAACTTCAGATTCTCACATATCCAACTAGTAGTGCTGCTATTAATTTGATTCCAACTTCTTCTTTACTTGATCAGTAGAAACCACACTGAAGTATCCTATTGCTCACTTCAGTTTGACTTATGCTATGTTAAAAAATTTCTATTCCATCTCTAATCCATGATATTGAGCTTGTTCAGGTGGCTTGGTTTCCATTCCTCGTGGCCATAACACTAGGCTTAATTACTTTCTAAAGCAAATCCCTAAGGTCTCCGAAAAGTAAAGAGGGTACGTTGACCGGCGTAGAGTGGTGGCAGCAGATAGGAAGCAAATGACATAGGAAAAAAATTTAAAAAGATAAACTTAAGTCTTTTCACTCTCTCAAAAGGAGGTGTGATACACTCTCCATGCCATGTCAGCAGCATGTGTTCAATAGACACATTATCAACTAACATCAGGTGTTTAATAGGTCACACCCCTAGTTGAGGTGTCTAAACGAAAAATTCGGGCAAGTTTCAGGGACCACATATGTATTCAACCTAGTCTAAAATTAGTCATTTAAGGCAAATTGAAAGGTTTGTTTTTTAGATTTTCACGAACCCTTCAATTTCTGTTGGATGAAATATTAGTCTACTTCTTATCTGTTTGATGGCTTATTTTAGTCTCTATATAAATACTATTCTACTTACAATAGCAGAATTTGTATAGAGGCAGAGAGCTTGTAAAACCTTATGTTTTTATATTGTTTATTTCTAATTAAAGTAGTTATCCTGGACTTCTAACAGTTAATAGATAGAAAAAGTTTATTATCTATACTTTTAGTAAGTGGTTTACTTATTGGCCTCTTAGAGGGGTTTCCTCAATAGCATCATACACAACATTTCCAGAGCATATAAAATGATCAATTGTTCACCTCTGCACACTGCAAGTACAACCTCAATGCCAGTTCTGACGATGGAACTGATGAAAGAGCCTCGATAGTCTGCATACAGGATTAGCTCAATCAGCAAAATGTAGCACACAAGGGGTTATCTGGTAGTTAATAAACAAATGACAGGAAATCAAAAGGAAGCAATTGTATCCTAATACCATGAATGAAACTGAACACAAAAGATCAACAAAGTTTACACCTGGAAGATCACCGATATGAGGAGTGGAGTGGAGAGGAATTACCAGTCTGCAGTCATGACTTATAAAACCTTCTCTCAGAAGACAAATTAAAGAAAAAAGCACTCTAGTGTACTGCATCACCAGTACAGAGATCATCCGGGAGAGGACATTTGTGTCACATCTCATAACCATGGTGAGAAATAAATCAACAATGAATCAAAATCAAAGGCTACATAAGAATGCCACAGACTGATTATAACGACAATTATAAGTGGCAATATCCAATAGCTGATATTACCTCATTCATTAACTGAAAAATTTTCTTTGGTGTAGCTGGAACCTCTTCTCCAGCCATATCTCCATCCTGACCTTGCAGTCTCCTAACCAACTTCCATTCGATCGAGAAAATATTTCAAAATTATGTTTCAGGGCAGATGGAAAGAAGAAAGTAGCACTGTACAAACTCTACTGGAAGCATTTGAAACATTCAATTATATGTTAAGTCTTCAGATTTCATTACAAGTTACGCTTTGAAGAGAAACACATTATCTCTATAAGAAACAAATAGACTCGCAGACGAGTGGAGTGGAAGGGGCAAATGCAGTATCCTGCTTACCTGCCCATGCTAGAACAGTTCTTGCAGATCGAATATCTGTATCCAATTCCAAAGACAACTAGAAATTTTTTTGGCAAGTGCGCCGGATGAGGATTTGTCGTAAAATTGAGATTATTTCGTTTCCTTCAGAGAGAGAGAGAGAGAGAGAGAGAGAGAGAGAGAGAGAGAGAGAGAGAGAGAGAGAGGAGTCATATTCAGCACCAGCAGAAACTGGCCTATAGATGCTAAATATCATCTATTTATTTATCTATTTTGATAAGAAAATAATCTATTTATTTACTTTATTTGCAAAACAATGCACAAAAATACTGCTGATGGGATGGTATGCATTGGTAAATGGTATTACAATTATTCATTACCTTTTTCTTATAGAATTAATGTCAGAAGATCAGGGGATTCTACTAAACGCATACTGCATACAGACATCAGCATAAATCGCTAACTACCAGGAGGAGAAGGGGGGGGGGGGGGGAGAGAGCATAAGTGCTGAAAACAACAAACCTTCAGTGCAGAAAAGACTAGAGGAGGAACTGTAAAAGTTAGGCGCTTTGGACCTCCAGCCATTATATGCTTCCTAACAGTGCATATTATCTGATTTACAAAGGGGAAAAAAAGAATATTATGAGCTTCCGTTTGTAGCATTCACCTGATTTATTAGTACTTTTTTTATTGGAAAAGTTTGTTAATCATTATTGGTGTTAGGTTATTATATGAGAGAATCACTTTTAGAACAGATAACCACATGTGAGTACGACGAACTGACTGTTCTCAAATCATTTATCTAAAGCACCGAGTACTGACACAATCAATAGTGCTAAGTATGAACCAACGAACTTTACTTTTGAACCTCCAGCAAATCCATGATTTCCAAACTCTTCGTCCTTCTTGCTCCTACTACGTAGAGTATCTATCTAATATCTATCTAACCTTGCTGGAACGAATCTAAGTAACCCACAGCACCAATATTTTCCATTGGAATATCCTTGCGAACTTAAATCATATACCATGATAGCATCCCCTTATCAAACATCACTAGTCCAATATCATAATAATGATAGTCTGGTTTAGAATATTAAAAGGTCAAAAGAAATGTGAAAACAACTGTGTGTTGGATATATTACTGGAAGATAGTTTTATCTGATTCCACCCAAAGGAGTTTGACTTGGATAAACAAAACCAAAAAAAACAACTTAGTTGACCTACAATCACATACCTAATATGTAATATCGTTCTATCATAACCGGCAGAGTCACGCATGCCATCTTAATGAAATGGCTTTTTTCCAGCTAATTGCCTCCAGGAATGATTGAGGTCTATGATCTAGAAATCATTTTCTCTATATATATCAACATCAGTAGTGGGAGTAATCCCAAAGCTCCTCACAGAAATTAGGTAACAATACAAGGAAAGAGAGGATAGATCAAAAGAAATGTGAAAACAACTGTATGTTGGATATATTACTGGAAGATAGTTTTATCTGATTCCACCCAAAGGAGTTTTACTTGGAAAAACAAAACCAAAAAAAAAACAACTTAGTTAACCTACAATCACATACCTAATATGTAATATCGTTCTATCATAACCGGCAGAGTCACGCATGCCATCTTAATTAAATGGCTTTTTTCCAGCTAATTGCCTCCAGGAATGATTGAGGTCTATGATCTAGAAATCATTTTCTCTATATATATCAACATCAGTAGTGGGAGTAATCCCAAAGCTCCTCACAGAAATTAAGTAACAATACAAGGAAAGAGAGGATAGATCATGCTATCATCCTAGAAACAGAAGTTCTATTTGGAGCTACAGAAGTCTAGAGTATTAACAATGTACTACAATCTCCTACATTTAAGTGCTTTAGTTTCAGCATTGTTACATGTTTCATAAAATTAGAGAAAGAAAATGCATTAGAAAAATAGTTAAGTTGTTTGTCTACAAAAGAGGAAGTTAAGGGTATTTGGCAACAAATAATAATATTAGAACTCTCTTAAAGCTTATCCACTTTTACCATTTAGGTGAGTGTCCTTTCAATTCTGTCAAATGAATAGCCATTTTAACAATTCCTTTCAACTCAAGCTTCCATCAACCTTCAGTACTTGTCCATCCATCTAGTCTAGAGTAAAAAGAATAGTTTGAACACAAATGAATAACATCAACTGGTATATGGCAGAGCACATTTTTCTTTCAATAGTGACCTTTCAGTTTCATTATCAAAATCAAACTACATACGATTGTATAAGTGTTTCCCTAAACTCAGGCTGTGATAAAGGTAGGGTTCAACAGTATACAAGAAGCAGATAACTCAGTTTGTTGGATGATTTCCAGAACTTAAAAAAGTACTAAATGAAGCACCAATCTTAAGGAGATCTAGTGCAAATCCCTAGAAAGTTGATCAATAATAATTTTCTACAGAAAAACTTCTCCAATAAATTAATTACCTTTAACATTTCCTCAGGTTCATCATTATATAGCATGTGTATAAGACGAGCAACAGAATTCTGTTCCTCCTTGAAATCCTCCTCATCGAGCTTTTGGCCAATACCACAACAAACAGGAAAAGAAGTCATTCCACTGGTAGAAACTATCAGGAAAAACTCACATGTATGAGTACTGAGTAAAAGTCAAAGGAAATGGAAGTCATCAATAGGAGTCAGAATAAAGTACAAAAAATTCAGACATTTGAAGTAATCAAAATTGTTGAAAATCTGTCCACCTCATCGGTAGCAGTTTCATCCAAGTCCTTGATGAGCCCTTTTATCAATTCAAACAAAACCTCAACCTGGGAAAGATGTAAATCAATTAAAGAGAGAACCAAAATAATTGAACTAGTGATCAATCACTACACATTGCAGATTATTACCTTGTCAGCAGTTGATACACAGGTGTCATTCTTCATGATGCTCTCAATGATTATCTTCGCCATGATCTTATTTGTTTCAGCATCAAGGTGATCCATGACACGTGGATAATTTGAAAGAGTTAGAACTGTCACAATGTCAGTGTATTTCTCCAACGGTGCACTCAGGAGAGCAACAACTTGTTTTGTCGCTTTACTATCCTCAAGCTTTGCTTTACCAGAAAGTTTCTTGACACATGCTCCCTACCAACAATCAGGAAAGTAAATCAAGCAGAGAAATGTTATCCCATACTTCTTCCCCCTGTAGCTACCAACTCTGCTAGGATTTCCTAATCTAGTGTGTTTAATGCTCCTACCGACCACTAAATTGATCAAAGAAATAACTGCCCTCCTCTCACCAAAAAAAGTGACCACATGTTACGCATCAACTGGCTTCATAGAGCTCAGAGAATAACAACAGCAGTTTCGATGCTATAACCTCCAAAATTCCATAGTGTCTTGTAACTTTGATTACCAAATTGACAAGAACATACCAGTACTTGATCCACGTAGTCTAGTCG